TGAGATGCAGCTTGACACTGAAAAACTGCTTTTCCTCCAAGCAGTTAGGGCTTTTTACCCCTCTTTTCCTGTTCCCACCCTTTCTTCCATGTCACCATACCCTTTGGGTATATCGTCCAGTCAGCAGAATAAACCAGACCCATAGCTAAAAGGTTCTTTGTGCTCTAGAAGTCTAGTTTTAAGAGGCTGCGTTGGTGTCGACTGGAGTGTCTGATATTTACAACTTGAATGTTTTAGGCGTTTAAAGATACTGGCAAAGCACCTGTGGAACAAGAGGTAGCAATTCACCGCATTAGAATTACTTTGACAAGTCGCAACGTCAAATCACTGGAGAAAGGTGAGTGATGATTTTTTTTTCTTTCCCAACTGAGGTAGCTTGTTGGGTCGTGAATGATCTATACGATATAACGTCTTGCGAAATAGAACGTATCGAACCCAGTTGTAATTAAAGATGTTAGCCTTTGCCTGTTCTGTATGTGACTTGGCTAACAAAGTCAACCCAGAGCGCTTCCTAACGCTGATGAGTAGATTCTAATTTAATTTTTAATGGAAGCTAGCATTTGGGGTTTTTCAGCGTGCTGTAAACTTCACGTCGTAATGACTCACTTCAGAGAGCGCAGCTTCTTCCCTTCAGTTCTTGTGGGCCTTTCCGTTGTTGCTACGTGAACATAGAAGCACTGAAAGGCTCTGGTTTCTTGATTGATATTTTGTCACTTTTTTTTAAAAAGAGTTTAGTTTAGAACTCTTAATATTCTTCTAAGAAATTATTTAATCTGGTTTAGGAACTGGCTTTGCCAGTGTTTTAATCATATCATGTGAGAGTTGTGGAACCACTGTTTAATGCAGGATCTTCAGGCTGATAACAGCTTAAATGTACCTTAAACTTGGAGTAATGGCTTTTTGCCTGCTGTTGTAACGTGATTTTGCTCGCCGCAGCGTAAGGCTTCCACTCGTGTGTGGTTGGCTATGAGGATAACCCTTGGAATGAATGGCAGTGATCACTTCATACGCTATTCTGAGCCAACCTCTTGTTTGAAATCTTCACTTAAGAAAACAAGCAAAAAAAAAAGTACTCACAAACCTGAGCTGTATTGTATTTTTTTTTCCAGTCTGTGCTGACTTGATCAGAGGCGCTAAGGAAAAAAACCTGAAGGTGAAAGGACCTGTTCGCATGCCCACCAAGGTACTTACCACTGTTTTCTTGTCTTAAAAGTTTGTTTTTCTGCAAAGGTGCATGTAAAACATCCTATTCTTTTTTTTTTTTTTT